ATCTTCTGTAACTTTGTTTTTTGTTTGTTAAAAGCTTCCTTTGTCGGTTTATTCCTAATAAAATAAAATGTTTGAAAAACGAATAGTGGTCCATATCTCCGCAACCGTTACTTTGCGGACCCATGTTTATTAAGACTTTTCTGCTTATTTTGGTTCATACTATTACCTCCTGAAATATTTTACACTCTTTTTTTAACACCGTGTATAGAGTCATCAATCATTATAGTCATAGGGTCATATATATAGTCGGTGAACTTAGCTCTAGAAATATCGAATTTTCAATAAAAATTTGGTGTCTTTAGTGCCTTGGTAGTGTTTCTTTAGTACCTCAATGTTTTTTCGTTTATACTTGCTTAGCTTTCGAGTGATTTATTTCGACTAAATCCAGATTTTCTATTTAAATTCAGCCCCCAAAACGTTTCGAATCTAAATAAATTTGATGTTATTGGTTAATGCTTCTTAGAGCCTTAATTGTTATTGTTTGGGCACTTCTAGTTTCAGAAATATTTGATTTCTATGTATTTGAAGGTCAGCAAGGTTTCGGATCTAAAGGATCTCTTTATATCATTCGTTCTTAGTGATTTAATTATTTCCGTTGGCGCTTTTTTAGTTCAAGAAATATTTCATACAATGAGACAATAAAGGTTAAGAGCTTTAGCTGTACCAAATTTAGAAAAATAGTAGACATACATTTCAAAAGGATCGATTTGTTATGTACTTAAATCATTTGAGCGGTTTTAACTGTTTAAAATCAATCTCTGTTTATAGAAATACGAGCCACCACTGCTTTTATAAATATTGTGTTGTATATCAAAAATATATTGTAAATTACTTCAATAATGTTCATTATGTTCCGTAAAACAAAATCGCAAATTGACGTATTGTTACACTACTTTAATCCAACTGTATATTAACAGTGAAATCACAGATTACACAATTTTGATAGCGTTGTTATCTTTCAAACGATATTGATTAATCTATATTTTTTTTAATGTATTTAGTTCATTATTTTATAATGATAATAACGTATAACACTATAAATTGTCTGAAATAAGAGAAAAATTCTCTCAAACATAAATACAATCATTCAAAAAACACATTGGGATACTAGACAGATTGAAATAACTCACTTAGAGGGTAAAAAAAAAAGAAAATTGAAAATTGTTACCTGGACTTTTATGAGTGGAAATGGAAAAGGGGCTTATAATAAATGAAAAGAAAAAAAAATTCTGGCGAAAGTTGACGTCAAACAAAAAAGTACCTAATACAAAAGTTGTAGATCATGAAAAAATCTTCAACTTTTTTGGAGGTCACTTTTTATGGCAACCTTAAAATTTCTAAGAACAATGCGAAAAACGGTTTATTTTCTTATTTTTCGTTTTTTTATTTCTCATTTCCGCAAAAATAATTTAATTTTGATGAAACTTGGTGAAAGTATATCTTTCTGTGTCTTAAATAACCACAAATTTTTTAGATAAAAAAATCAAGAAGTTTCCGAGATACTCATTCTTTCCGGTCTGAAACACTATTTTTCAAAGAAATATTCTACTTATTAAATTCATCGTACAGAGTTCTGCCGGTGATCATTTTTTTCGTTTTGGCATATACTTTTTGATGAAAAAATGAAAAAATTTGTAATCACATTTCAAAAACATGCTTAAAAATGCAAAATAATAAAAAATTACTTGCAGCAATGAATTTTTCAGTAATTGTTGATACATTTGTTTAAATTAAAAAAAAATTCAAAATCTGATTATACCATTCAATTGTACAGAAAAAAAATACAAAAAACTGTGTCTCATTGTTTGACCCAAAACTTTATTTTTGTACAGTATTGCTATAAACATCTAAGTCGAATAAAGAATAAATAAAATAAATAATAATTGTTTTTCCGTAGGATCGATTAGTGTACTTATTTTTTTTTAAATTTTGATGAGTTCTTAGATATACAGTGTGTATAAAATAAGGATGGCATAGCATTAGGATCTAGGAAACGGTAAGAGATACGGAGTGGCTCAAATTAGAAAAAAGTTGTGTTTTTTTATACCAAACAATACGCCGTTTAGAAAGTTTTAAAATTCCGGGTATTTCCGGAGATATCCGGAAAAAACCGACACGGACAATACTTATTCCCCAAAACCAATATTTAGATATGCACACATTTTTAATTTTTTAATTTAAAAAAATTAAAGTGTAAGTAAAATTTCTCGTGACATTTTTAGAAAATATGTCATGCTCATTTCGTATGTTTTATCAGTTTAGATTTGAAGTTGATCTTCTAACAAATAAAAAAATGAAATTTTAAATGGATGTACACTAATCTTATCGGGCAATCTAGCTATTCCACTCGATGTCGGATTATTTTCCAAAAGAGTTTATTAAACACCCTAATAATAGAGATGATTGTTATATTAGAGCAACACGTCCACTGGAAAAATAATGAGGCGTTTTTTATCAGCGGGTATTATATTTCGTTATTGATTATGGCTCGAACGTAGCAAATTACAGTATATTGCAAAATAACTTTATCTGTACCAATATACTGTACCTGAGCATTATACGACCTGATTTTAGTTAATAAATGTAATCCATCAAGTGTATCAAACAAGAAAAATACGGGTTCGATAAAATGTATAAATATTTAATGTTATTGTTTATCGTTTCCTAATGCTACAGGTATTTATGATAGGATCTAACAGAAACGTGCAGGGAAGAAAATCAAACATGGTCTTTGTGTTTTTTATGAACTTTATCGAGGGAAGATTAGATAGACCATCAAACGAGATTTATTTGCAATTTACGTTTGCTAAGTTTAAGTTAATGTCGTTTTCTATTAACATTGGAAATACTTTTATTATTCGTTAGTATTCACATTTATATAAGTAAGTAAAAAAGGCTCATGAATAATTGTCATAAACAATGGTAAACTAGGGATACTAGCCTCTCTCTGCAATAATAAAATGAAAGAAGTATTGTAGCTATTCCCAAACAAAGAAAGACAAAAAACAATTCCTTGAAGCTTTTCTAGATTATTATTTTTTCTAACTTTATTATAAGTGTAACTATCCTAATCAGGAATTTGTATTGATTTTCAATAATTTTTCAATAAATGCCTCAAAATTAGTTTACCTTCTGTATTGAAAAATTCCTGTATGTACGGGGTCTCATACAACAAAGTAATCAACTGTTTCTCATTATGGCAATTAATAGCCTTGTTGACATTAAGAATTTTATGTATACAGTTTGAGAGCGTGAGCGTTGAGAGCTACTGCAAATGCAATGACAAAAAAAAATGTTTAAGAACGTTCTCTAAAAAAAAACAGCCATAAATTTAATTTTACGAAATACTTCATATTTTAGTATTGTCAATTTAATCACCTTACCAGGGGCGTGCGGATAGACTCTAATCTCTAATTATTTTTAAAAGGATTATTTAGGATTACCTTGTATGTCATATGTTTATTAATGGCACAGGATGTTTTATTTATTATTCTTTTTTACAGTCGACCCCATGTACTGAAAATGTTTCTCTGAATTTCAGGTTAAACCAGAAATTATTAAATACTTCTTTACTTTTTACTACTAAATGTAATCATTATTTTTTATTGTTATATATTTAGGTTCTACTAGTTATGTAACGTGAACTTTCATTTACTTTCTCTGCATGTAAATTAATTTATTTTCGGGATATTTGTTTTTTTTTTTGAATGGTTGATATCATGAGTAGAATGATGATAAATCTGCACACTAATACATTCACTATTTCCTAAAAAGTCTCTTTCTTTCCATTGTTATCTTAATATAAAGTACCTATACTTATAAAAAAGAAAAGTCAGTAAATTGCGTACTTACTTTTTCATTTGTCATACTTCGTTTGAGTTTCTTAAATATTAAACTGAAGTAGCGTTGACGTTACTGTATGAATAAACATAAAATTAAACATTTTCGTTAATTAGATAGGAAACAAACAATAAACGGATTTGTATCATGGAACCATACAATGAATTGTATATGTTTCTGCATAGTTACTACAGGAACTACGCCGTTATATAGTGTGTATTTAAATTAACATAAAGTACAAAAACTAGTAAAACAATATGTTTAAAATATAGGAAAATTTGTCCTTTTCAACTTCTTTAAATTCACAATTGTAATATGAATTTCCATGTCACAAAACTGTTGTACTATCTTTGCAATATTTACTATTTCCTTCCCTCTTAATGATAACTGTATGTTCTGTTTCATCTATCTGCATATATTTTTTAAATATTTAGAAATAATCTGTAATCATTAGAAATCTCTTAGAGGTTGCTAATTAATAATTAATTATTCAAGTTTGGCGCTCAAAATAAATGTTTTAAACGGGTGTTTGGGCCTTAATAATTCGTGACGTCATTTAGTGCTATCGATAATCGAGAAGATGGAGGACAGGAACATGGCCTCGTGACAAAATTTATATTTCAACATATTTTTAAACATCTACTTACAACTAATTAATTTGTAGTTTAAAAATAAATAAATTTGTTATCGGTTACAGACCACAAATTTATGGAGCTCTAAAAGAAAGTTCTAAATTTTCATATAAATCGCTTATTCAATCCTATTTAGCACAAACTTCTATATATCAAAATAAAATTTTAATGAGCGAATTAAAATTGTTCGGGTAACTTGTAAATTTTTATAATTTATTGTATATTATCAGAAATAATGGGCATGATTCATTGAAATATTTTTTGCCAAGATCCGAAATCAGTTATTTCGTCACTGGAAATAACAGTCTATAAATATATATTTTCTAATACTCATTTTTATCAAATCAGATACAAATCAATACATGAATGAATAATTGATAAAATAGAATTAACAAGTAAAATGATATAAATCAAGAAACGTGCAAGTTCCAATCAAATTCTTGTGTAATTTATATAAAACTTAAAACAATCAACTGTACAATTAAACATCGTTATATCTTCTAGTAATATTGAATATATTTTTTTCAGAATAAAATGGGAGATTCCCAGGGAAAGAAGCTTCCACAGTACATAGCTGCATTGTCTGGTGAGTCTATAGTCAATTTTATTTGTCGAAATTCCTAGAAAATGGAAATTTTAATCACGCCTTATGGCGACTTTATAATTAAATCCGGATTAACTGATAACACAAATTTTAATTGTTCTTATTAAAATAAAATTAAAAAAAAACTGTCTCAATCTGATAAAAAAAGGTAAGAATTGCTTTAAAATTTCTCTTTTAAGATACAAAGAACTAATTTAAAAAAATGCTCCGTTTCTATTTGACATTGTAATATCCAGTAAACATGTCGATCCAAACGAGGCTCTTTAAAAAATGGAAAATAATTGTATATACGTGAATATCGAAGAAAAAGTTCGAATAAGCGTTATGCAAGGGGACTGCCTAGCCGGGTGTCTTGGCCGGTGGATTTCGATCTGCAGAGGTAAGCATCACAGACGCAAGCTAGAATTTGGATGGGTGACCTAAGGCAGGCTCAGAGACGCGGCTGTGGCAGCCTACCAGAGACCTGGGTCGCTCAAGATTTTCCGCATGCGAGTGGTCCCCGATAAATGGTAATGAGAACAGAGCACAGAAAATCTCTGTAACTCAAGATCATGCTATCATACACAAACTGTACGAGACTTTGCCACCAAGCTCCCGTGTAGTAAGTAGGATGGTTTGAAGAAAAGTACACGAGTAATGAGGGAGGGTGTACAAGGGGCCTAAGGCATAAGTGCCGCGGTGGAAAAATAATTCCACCACCTTCCGACATACATACATACATACAAGCGTTATGCAATCAAGGCGAGAATTTCAAGAAAATTATTTTCAATTGCAAATGTTTTGAAAACATTCAAACGAAAAAATGCTAAATAAAAAGAAATCTTACATTTAAAATTTCTTTTTCGAGAAAAAATGCCAGAGCGTTTCTGGACGATGTGGATATATAACTACAATGTATTTTACAATTTACAAATGATGAGGATAATTGAAAATATAACATATATGTATAACATATATATTTCCTAATATAAGTCGATCACCCTGGACTTGAGTATGCAATAGTACCCGAATAATATATTTTATTAAGACGCCAACAGTTATCAAACTACATAATAAAAGAAATAAAAGAATTGCGAATATTTGAAAAAAAAAAACAACTGCAACATGTAACTCTTATCTACTTGAGAAGCACTAATTACTTATTGATGCAGTATATAGTAGGTACTAGAGTTACTAAGAAAAGTGTTACAAATGAGATTCAATTAAAAATAATACCGGTAGTAAATCATCTTTTGTTTTTTATCCTAAAAAAGTAACTTGATTGATTAAGATTAAGGGAAAGTCTGTTATAAATAAAACATGTCAGGTACTTTTATGGCTGAAGCTCAAAAACATAGCATTGTCTGTTAATAAATCATAATTTTTATTGCAATAGTTTAAGGAATTAAAACAAAACCAGGTTAATCCAAATTTGGGCACTTTCTGTACGGGATCTTGCAAAAATTGTTGTGGGTGATTCTTTTCATAAAAATAATAGTAAATGGTGTCTCAAAGCTCACGTAAGAAGTAATTTTGATAGAAAACACAGGTTTTTAATTAAAAATTGTAATTTTTTTATTGATTCATAAAGTATACAGTATAGGATTATGTATAGAATAGCATATCGGGTAAATGGCCTCCATGGCTTTGCTGACACAGACGCATTCATTTGTCGAAATTTTCCAATTTCCTTCTTCAATTCGTGGATGGTCATGGGCTTGTTGGGATAAACCTAAGACTTCAAAAAACCCAAAGGCTTTAAATCGCTTGATCTGGGCGGCCAATTCTGATCACCAAAATGGGAAATTACAATACCAGACTCGTGCAGTAACTGAATAGGGCAGATGCTATATTACAAGTTACATTTTCCAAACATCGACATGCTTTATACTACTTATGTCTTTATATACAGTGTGTATCAGCTAAATGGAATAAACTCAATAATAAATACAAGAGGGCGTGTTCGAAAAAACATTTTTTTTCAACAAGAACTTTTTCATGTGCAATGTCCTATTGTGTTCAACTGTTTTGGAAATATTAAGTATTTTCAGATTTATTGCAAAAATTAACATTAAAAAAGAAAATTATTTGATTACAGAAATCGCTACAACACACACAATACTTATTTCCCATTTAGCTCTTGATAATGAGGAAATAAGGAAAACCATTTCAGCGTTCCTTGTTACTGATATGAAATAAAAAAAAAACTATAAATAGTTTTGTTTACTTTTGTTAAAAACGCCTGGCCTCAGCAACGTGTTGTCTGCCTGCATGACAGTAATTATCAGTGTTATAATCGTTTGAATTTCGTTCTGCATATCAGAAAAATGGTTCATTTAACAGAAATGCACAAAGTAACAATTCTACAGAAGATTGGTTATGGAGATAACACACGGATACAAATGGAAGTTGCTCGCTTATTTTATGAAAGATTTCCAAATTTGCCCCATATATCCCCAGAGACGATTAGTAAAAAGAAAAGCAGTTTCGTGAGCTTGGACATGTAAGGCAGATAAAAGCAATTGTCAATGCAATAAGTGATGATACCAAATTGGATATTATGCTTAAGTTTGAGGAATACCCACATACTTCAAGTCGAAAAGCAGCCCCAATGCTCGATGTTAGCCATTCATCGATTATTCGAATATTAAAATAAAATAAAATGCATCCCTATAAAATGAAACCAACTCAGGAGCTCATGGAAGACGATTCTGATAAGAGAACTTATTTTTGTGAACAATAGATAACAATGTGATCCCATTAGAACATGTTTTGTTTTCTGATGAGTGCACCTTTACACTTCGTCAAATCGTCAAAATTACGGCTATTGGTCTAATGAAAATCCTCACTGGATTACCAGAAGAACATACGCAACACCCTGAAAAGGTTAATGTTTGGGCAGGAATTGTTGGAGATCATATCATATGTCCCTTTTTCATTGATGGCAATTTGAATGGCGATAATTATTTAGCACTGCTCCAAAATAATGTCATGCCAACTTTGACAAACTTATATCCTGATCCAGCAAACCCACAAGTTCCAGCGAATATGATACGTTTTCACCGCCCCATTACTAAATCAATGTCCGGTAGTATCTTAATCGGATATTTCCAAATCGGTGGATAGGGAGGCGAGGATCGATGGAATGGCCAGCACGATCTCCTGATCTGACACCACTAGACTTCTTCTTATGGGGATATGTTAAAAGTATTGCACACAAAACTAAACCCCTCGACTTCGCTGACTTAAGAGCACGAATAACGCTTGCGATTGGATTGGTCACACCTGAGATGTTGAGTAATCAAGTTTCTACTTAAGATTAGGATGTTGCCAGGACGTTCGCGGCGAGCATTTTGAACATCTCTTGCATTGACATTAATGTTTTTTTTTTGCTTTTTTACATTATTAATAAATAAACACTATTACTTATTAGTTTTTGAGTGTGTGTATTTCTGTAATCAAATAATTTTCTTTTTTTAATGTTAATTTTTGCAATAAATCTGAAAACACTTAATATTCCCGAAACAGTTGAAAATATGTATAGGAGATTGTACATGAAATACGTCTAACATTTTCTGAAGAATCCAAAAAACTGAATAATATACAGGGTGTTGCATTTAAAATAAGAAAGTTGGTCCCAAGTCATTAAAATTTTCATAATGTTTTTACATGTGATTTATTTCTAATTGGCTTTGTATGTATTTGATTGTGACCATATTAGTAACATGGTGTGTCACTATTATAATAAATGCACCTTTGTATATTTTTTTAATATAAAAAAATCTGTTAGGATCTATTAAAAATCTTGAGGTGACACATCCCTTATATCCTTAAAGTACGAAAAATTGATACTGATTTACATTTACTTTTTCAGTGTGCCTTGGATCTGTGGCTGCGGGAACGGTCCTGGGCTGGACCAGCAACATATCAGACAAGCTCAGAAATTCTGAACTAAACGACATCTTCATCGACTTGGACGCCGTGGGATGGATAGGTTCCTTTGCCACAATAGGAGGGATGCTAATGTGTTTCCCCATAGGATACATATGCGATTTAATTGGTAGAAAATGGGGGTGCATAACGACTGTAGTCCCATTCACCGTAGGATGGCTACTTATTATTTTTGCGGCCAACACCGGAATGATTTACGCCGGGAGGTTTTTGACTGGTTTGGCCGGAGGAGCGTTTTGCGTCGCCGCACCAATTTACACCAGCGAGATAGCCCAGAAAGAGATAAGAGGAACGTTGGGTAGCTTTTTCCAACTTCTCTTGACTTGTGGTATCTTGTTGAGTTACGTGGCTGGAGCGTATATGTCCCCCAGGAATCTGTCGATACTGTGCGCGGTAATCCCCATTGTTTTCGCGGTGGTTTTCTTTTTCCAACCGGAAACGCCAGTGTATTTCCTGAAAAATCAGAAACCCGCAGCTGCCCTGGACTCACTGCAGAGATTGAGGGGGCCAACGTACAATTGCGACGATGAGATCAAAGAGATTAAAGATACTTTGGATCAAGACGCGAGCATTAAGGTATCGTTCTTCGAGGCAATGCGCACAACGGCTAGTAAGAAGGCTCTCCTCATATGTTTCGGCCTTATGTTCTTTCAACAAATGAGCGGTGTGAACGCAGTCATTTTCTACACCAAAGATATCTTTGAATCATCTGGGTCCACCTTGCCCGCTTCAACGGCAACAATTATCGTGGGAGTGATGCAAGTAATAGCTACGTTTATTTCTTCAGTATCTGTAGACAGATTTGGTAGAAAGATCCTATTGCTGGGTTCTGTACTATTTATGATGCTCTCTGGACTTATTTTGGGGGTGTTCTTTTCTCTTAAAGACAGAAATGTGCTAGATGCAGATGGAGTAGATAAAATATCATTCTTGCCAATATTGTGTCTTATAATTTTCATTTGTGCGTTTTCCCTGGGTTTTGGACCGATACCATGGCTCATCTCCGCCGAACTGATGCCTCAAGAGATTAAGTCAACAGCTTGCTCGGCAGCTGCTACGTTTAACTGGTTGCTTGCTTTTATCGTTACCAGATTTTATGGAAACCTTAGTGATGCTATTGGTGGGGATTCTACTTTTTATATATTCGCCGGTCTTTCGTTGCTGGGTACCCTGTTCGTGTTCTTTGTTGTCCCAGAAACGAAAGGAAAGTCATATGCGGAAGTTCAAGCTTTACTTGGCGGTGGTAGTATCACAGAACCCACAAATAAGGATAATAAGGATGGCATCGATAATCCAGGTTTCGCGAATAATTAGAAAAGAAAATATTTTACGGAATATGTTTTAGTTGTATTGCGATTACTTTTAGAGAAACTGAAACTGTACTATGGCATACCTGAGTAAATTTGTGTATTTTTTTTAATTGGGATAGCTTCTAGATATTATTTATTCTTAAGCTTGTAAGTGTTTATTTGGAAGTAAATATAAATACTCTAGTAAAAATAGTAAGTTAGGTAACAAGTTTAACTGTGATTTATGAATAAATTGTTATATCAGCAGGAATGTATAAAGTATATACGATTAAATTCTAACAGTGCCGAAAAATTCATACAATGAAATATTATACAGGGTGTTTCAGGATTAAGTCGACAAACTTTAAGGAGATATTCCTCATAAAAAAATAAGAAAAAAATCAAGTATAAATTTTTTCCAGAGACGTTTCATTTTCGAAATATAGGGCGTTAAAGATTTAAAAAAAAATCGAATTTTTTAAATAACTTCTAAATGGAGAAGGCTATTTAAGCCAAATTTGGCATGACACATCTTATAACATACCATTTTTTCATAGAAGTAGACCAATTTTAATAGGTAATATATTTTTTTAGGTTTTATGAGGAACGTCTTCCTAAAGTTTATTGACAGAATCCAGAAGCACTCTTCCGAAAAATCAATTTTGCCATGAAACTATAAGTTAGGAAAAAAAGTGAATGTACAATTTTTGTCAATAACAAACTGTTCTATCTCAAAACAGCATCATTTTTTATTTTCCGTAGGGCCGTATTAATTTTTTTTTATAATTTAATGAGTCTGAGTCCCTACAACTCCGCCACTGGTTGCTTGCGGGACTTCTATGGAAAAATGGTATCTTATAAGAAGGATGTGTCATGCCAAATTTGGCTTAAATAGCCTTCTTCTTTTAGAAGTTACGTAAAAAATTCGAATTTTTTAAAAAATCTTTAATGCCTTATATTTCGAAATTGAAGCGTCTCTGGAAAAAAATGTATACTTGATTTTTTCTTATTTTTTTATGAGAAATATCTCCTAAATGTTTGTCGACTTAATCCTGAAACACCCTGTATTATGACAACTACATTGGAAGCTTAGGAAAAATTCAGTTCTTCTGTTCCTAATTTATTCTGAATAAACCTACTAAAAAGAATATACATATTATAGTGCCATATAGAAATTTTATACTTTTAAGTGTTAATTAGGGTGAAGCCATTGTTTCAACAACTTCCCCAAGTTAGGCTATACGATATTTATTATATTTATATCTTTATAACGACTTGTTCTAGATTTATTTTTGTACATATTTATATTTTAAGTAATGATAATAAATGTTAGTACATGTAGATTATTTTTATTCAATATTTAATATATTTTATTAATTTTCCATAATTTTTTTTTATATTAATTAAACACTACGAACATTTGTAATATTTTTATGGTTTATGGGCAAATTATATCCGAATTTATAATGAATATTAAATATTACAATTACAGGAAGTCTGGATAGAAAAAAATGTTTCGTCTATAAATTTTTTTGTTTTACTTTTACTTAATGATTTTAATAGGTAAATAGAACCACATATTAAAAAATTGAATTTGTAATTAATGTATGAATTGAAACTGAGTATAAAATACTCTATGCACATTATTAGCTTATATACAGGGTGTCCGGGAAAATGTAGGAAATCTATCGGGTGCAGATAGAACATGAAAAAATAAGTGGACAAGTTCCTAAAAAATTTTTTCGTACAGGCCCTCCCTAGGGAGTTATGTGTCCCTGAAGGACGCCACTGGAAATTGGTTTTCCTTAAATAACTTTTAAAGTACTTAATATAATTTGATAAAAATTTTATGTGATGGACACTAGTAAGGACCTCTTAAAATAGTGTCATTGAAACATATTTAGCTTTTTTAATATACCAGTGGCGGGCTAAGCTTTACAACTTAATGCCTAAATTTTTAACACCTTTTATGATAGAGACTTTAAAATAATAAATCTGGGTAGCTTCAACCTTAGACTAAAAAAGGTACTCTTGTTTATTGTCGATAAAATGAACCGTTTACGAGAAAAAGAGTAATAAACGAATTCACGTTTTAGTTTTAATGAAAAGGGCCATAATTTCTATTTTTTTTTCTCGACAACAAAGTGCGATACGAACGTCATTCAAACAAGAGGAAAGTTTCATTTTAAGATGTTTTATCCGAAGAAACGCAACATTAAAAAAACACAGTGCTGTCCCAGATGGCACCTTAACGAAATTCTTGAATAAGAGGGTTCAACATGGACTCCGTGAAGTCTGATACACATGCGAGCACGACGAATTCAGGACTGCTGTAGGTACCCGCCGCAATAACCCAGCATTGTTCCTTATCACATCACAATAAAACGTGATTCTCTGTAGAAGTTCCTCCCTAGTGTCGACCGGAGTGGAATATACCAATTGTTTGAGATCGAGTAGGCCAGGCAAAAAGTCCTCCTCTACCTATCCAACGGTTTGGATAGACGTTATTCAGGTGCTCCCGCACACCACGTTGGTGTGTTGATCACAAATATATACAATTGACTATTCGGGTACAGCAATAAACAGAAAAAAATCTGATTTTACTACAAAAAGGTTTTGTCATCACAGTTGTCATCACGTGAAAACTTCAGATTTGAGTAGCTTTGTGGTCTTTAATGTTATTGGAAATGTAAAATACTATTTACTTCATAACTATTCACAATGAATCTCTTTCATAAAAAAATATACGTCACTTCCAGACAAGCATTATTATGGGGCAAAAAAAGCATATATCTAAGAAATTTTAATTTATTTAGCTAATCTTTTTTGTTTTGGATCACCATAACATACCATTCATGTACATTATTCAAATGAGTCAGTATGCTCTGCAAGTCGCACCTGCATAATTGAGATAGCAGGCAAAAATATAAAACAATAAATCTATGTTTACTTTTTCTCATTTCACTTTTTTTATATAAACAACTTACTTGATGATTGCGAAAGAAATATGTACTGCACACTTTTTATTTACCTTCATCAGTCAAGCATGTAAGCGTCTCTAAATACGATTTCATGCATAATTATTTCCAACAATTTAACCTGCTCTTGCCGTTACTTCCTAAATAATTCCAATTTTCTTCCCAAGATCAGAAAATGTTACAAATTTGTGTAATAAATTAAATAATGCAGCAACTGGATAAATTAAAAAAAAAATTAATGAGAATAAGAAATTCCATTCGGTCCTTTCGGTACACTTATTCAGAAATATGAGAGGCAAACACGGTGTATTGCAGGTTGCGGTATCATGAAAGTTTATTCGTAACAAAATAAAATTGTAATTGCTTTGCTATCTTTATAGCGACAATCTGTCCTATCCTTCCTTTCTTTCCCAAATGCATAATTTTCCAAAATACTGCCAGTGTTTCACTTAATAAATAAAGATATTTGTAGTTGTCAATTCCTTATTTATTGTACAGCAAAAAGACTAATACCTACACTAAATTTATCTAGAAGTTCTTTGACATCTCAAATACTTTTTGAGAAATTGGCCTCCAAAGCTTTCTACTCGTAATGCTTGTATTTTAAGTATTTTGAAGCACTTGTTCAAAACTGTTTTAAATATAGAATTAACTACACCATACAAAAAAATACATTTCCTCATTCACATTTCCCTCGAAGAAGTAGAATCCCAAAATTCTGTCAGATGTGTTCTTGTGTTAAATGAGGATTTATGTAATTCCAGTGCCTTGTGGTTTGTTTATCCATAGGCCTATCTAGGTAAGAAGTAACTTCGTCCGAGAAAATTAAAGTACGTAAAAAGTTTAGGTTATTATTTATTAGGTTCATCACTGTGTTGCAAAATTCCAGTCTTCTATCAATCAATCGGTAGAAGCTTCTGCAATTCATGAACTTTAAATGGGGACCATTTTTCTTTCGTTACAAAACGATGAATTGTAGATTTCGAAATGTTCTATTGTTGAGCTAATTTTCTCATAGAATACAATACAACTATTTGAAATTTTACATGATCATTTAATTTTTCGAGTCGAACTGATCTTTGGATTTTTACAGAGACCAGTTAGGAAAGTTGTGGAAAATTTTAATTACAATTAATTGTGTAATTCGTAGATGGGGATAAATATTGTTAGACATATCGCAAATGTCGTACTGCTTTCTCATTTTATCCCCATATCAAAAATATGGATTTCAATTTGCCGCTTTTCTGTTGTGCATTATTTAAAATAGCTGCAATTTAATAAATTGTGGGCAAATACAAAACGAACCGCATTGACAAGTGTGATTTTGAAATCTTAAATTCTTTAATAGACTTTTATCTGAGATTCAATCACTAAATTCAGACTGCTTTAATTCCAGAATTTGAAAATATCTTAAGAGAAAAGCGTTTTACAATTTTGATGAGTTCTTTGGTGACCAGTTTTTGGATACCTATATAATGAATCTTTGTAATATTTACTTTTTTATGTTGTTTACGTTATCTGAATGCGTTTTTTAGCTTTAATGTAGTATCACTTATATATTGTATCTTTGGTGTTTCTGTTTCACTGACTTGTGTAAACATTTTAACGTATCGACACCAATAAATGATTGATTTAATTATCTTTAAGTCAGCTAAAGATAAAAATGTCAAAATTTGCACACGCATAAATATCAATTGTCTCAAGAAAAAAAAAACAAAAATAGTTATCTACACCATAAAGGAGGTAAGTAAGACGATTTTGCGCCCGAGCGGAGCGAGAACTGGCAATAGAGTCCGAGACTGGTAAATTATACTTAACTGCTGCGTGGTGTATAACATTTTATCTGCTGCCAGAGTTGTTTATGGTTCATGAAATAAAGATTAGGTTTTATTTTTTGACATTTCTTAATCAATTCATTTTGACATTATTCGAAACCTTGCAAAGGCGCCTTGGTTGTTTGGATTTTTCTACATAAAAGTTGCAATTTTGCTGGTTTTGAATTATTATTTCTAAATGAGTGATTTTCAAATAGAAAGTGTAGCAAATGCTACTTGCGAATTTTTATTGCCCGAAAAGTCGAAAGTACGCTACGGACGAGCATATAGAAATTTCAAAGAATGGTGCCAGAACAAAAATACTGGTGTTTTTGAAACATCACTACTAGCATATTTCATGGAGAAGTCAAGAATTTTAAAGTCACCGGCGAGTTTGTGGAGTAAATAATCAATGATTAAGTCAACTATTTTCATAGAGAAGAACGTGGATATATCAAAATACCACAAGCTGAGAGCATTTTTGAAACCTAAAAAGTCAAACGTTTTTACAAGAGAACAAGTCTACGATTTTCTCAGGCACCCGATAACACATATTTGCTAATGAAGGTAGTGACGGTCTTGGGCATTGCAGGAGCATGCCGTTCTGATGA